AGAGAAAGATCAAATCGTTTGATTTCTCATAAAGATGTAAATGAATCTTTTGTTTACTAGGTTTATAAAAGATTAGTGGGAGTCAATAATGTTCCTAAATTTGAATATATACATATATGATATATTAATTCTGGAAATGAAAAGAATACTTCTTCGTTAAAGTTATGACTTTAAACATTCTATAATGATATAATGTATATGGGAGACATAGTCTATAAACATGAGATGGAAATCTATAATGATAGATTTCAGGATATAATTGGATTATATCAAGCCCTAATGATAAACAAAAGATGCTAAGAAGTTTCTCATATGATGATAAACTTCAATAAGAAGAACAACTTTAGTGAGACTAGGAGGTAGCTCTTCTCAAAGGAAACGTACCCTATAACTCCCAAAGAAATAATGCGTAAATAGAATCCTTTATGTATACGCAGAAAGGTGATTTATGTATTTCATATTGTATGAAAAACGTTGATATGAGTTGTACCAAGATCAGTACAAGACGATATCAATGCAAGCCCAGGATCAGAACCATGACAACTGTCAAGTGAATCCTTAAGTATTTGAGAAATAATAAAGGATGGATTCCTCAAGAATGAGGAAGAATTAGAGTAACGTAATGGAAGCGTAAATGTATTAGATTATGAATCTAATCCATCATTGGATGTTTCTTCATTATGAATGAAGAGATAATCAGATATCTCTTTATTATGACTAAAGAGATATTTGGATGGAAACATTAAAAGTAATGACTTTAGTGTGTTCCATTGTGAATACAAAATATATTGCCATATAGAAGCTTACAACAATGTTGTTTGGATGAGAAAGTTCATTCATGAACTCTCTATTTGGTTCCAACCAGAAAGTGTCTCTAGTGTACCGACACTACGACACTAATGGGGCGATAGCTCAAGTTAGGGAATTAAGGTCTCATCATGATCCGAACTTAAATGAGAGATTAAACCACATGATTAAGAATCATGTATAATGGTGACGTCGTTATTCTCAAGGTTGCTTCTATGGATAACATATAAATATCCATTGTATAGGCCTACTACTCAGCCATTTTTGAAATGACTACAGAAGAGGTATCATCATTGATGACCAAGCTGATTGGCTCTAGTGCAAGTGGGAGATTGTTGGAAATGTGCCCTAAAACCAATCATATGATGATACTTTACGAACATTTCACATGTTAAACTAATATAGTTTAATTTAAAGGGCAAAGATTATTATTTGAAGTCGTCTCATATAAATGTTATACGCTTAAACGATAAGTCCAAGGAATATGTAATTGGGAGAATGCGATCTAAAGAAGTTAGATTCATGAGACCATTCTCTTTCGTATACGTTGTACCATATGCTCGAATTAGTTTTAGGACATACTCTGATTATGGGTTGTTACTTTTAAAATTATATGCTCAAAGGTGTGACTCATCACTTCAAAGGTTTGTTCATGCATATGCATTTCATGTCTAAATTCTTATTACATTTTGACTAGATTAGTTATCTCGTTGGTTTTGTTTGTTGCTTTCACGCAGTTGGGCACACAACTTAAGACTGCCCACATGGGCTAACTAACACATTTTTGCTGATAGCTAGCTTTTAGCCATTGATCTGCCCATATCATTTTCTACGCTGAAAAGTGTTCCCTGTCATTGTTAACTAAAAACATACAGGTTCTTATTGAGGGTTCTTTTGTGAGGTGGTTGTTTAGATTTATTTTTTAGAGTGTGAAAGTGCATTAAAGCTTTGAAGCTTCCCCTATTCCTCATTTATGAAACCCTACCTGCCAAACATTTCTTCATGCATTAAACACACAATCATTGAGAAACAGGGTTGCATTGTTTTCGTGGTTTGCATTGTTTTCATAGTGTAATCCCAAGTTTAAAATCATTAATTGGACGTAGTTTCCTTGTTGGATTCATGTTAGTTTCTTACTTTAACTTTTTAACTGGAGAAACTGACTTGTCATTTGAATCCATATTATATCATCTACATCATTACATCACTCACTTGAAGAACGCATTGGTCTCGGTGCTACAAGGTGAAGAGCTCAAGGTTGGAGCTGCCTCCTAGTGAAGACCGAAGAGCTCAAGGTTGCATAAAGGTAAAGTTGCTTGGTAGATTATGTTAAATCCCGCATCGGCTGTAGAAAAAGAAAAGTAATAGTTTAAATATCCTAACCCCACTTCCAACAACACCGATATTCTCTCCAACTTGGTAATTACCACCTGCACAATCCGTCAGGTGTGGGGTTTTATCACAAAAGGTCTCGGTGTTAGTTAGAGTAGGGTTATCATATTTAAACTATTACTTTTCTTTTTCTATGGTTGATGTGGGATTCAACAGGCCTCTCATGTGGGACCTAATTAGTGGGTCACACGTGGGAGATCCACACATCAGCAACCACGTGGACCCAAGGGGACTCACTCTACATGTGGAGCCAAGAGTTCGATTCTTGGTTGAACTTTGCTATGAGTGCTTACCTATGGGTGCATGAAGAAAATTTTCTTCATTCACCCACAAGCTATGAGCCTGAGGGTGAAGATTGTCTACTATTGTTAAATGAAGAAGAAGAATGGTTTCTATTGCCATGAAGAAAAGAGCGAAAGAAAAAAGTTGTGGTTCCACTGCCTTGGAGAAAAGAAGAAGAAAAAAAAAGTTTTGTCAAGGTAGGATACATTTCCTATCATGAAGGTTCTTGGGTTTTGTTTTATTTTTATATATTTTTAATTTAGTTTGAGGAAGAAAAAAGAAAGGATGAAACAAAAGATTGAAGAAAAGGAAAAAGATTTGGTGATTGGGGCTTTTGAAAAGAGGTGTTAGTTTCAGTTGGGCATTCGAAAATATTAGCGTTTGTTCCAACTAGACTTTCAAAAAGAGGCGTTAGTATCATATCAAGAGAATTATTTATTGGGCATTCGAAAAAAGAAGTTAGTTCCAATTGGGCTTTCGAAAATATTAGCGTTAGTTCTAGTTGGGCTTTGAAAAAAAGGCGTTAGTCCCGAGCATAATGATTTGTTCATCAGGCTTTCGAAAAGAGACATTTGTTCCAATTGGGCTTTCGAAAAGATTGGCACTAGTTCCAGGTATGCATTAAAAAAAAGGCGTTAGTTCTGACAAACTGTGATTTGCTGATATTTTGAAAAGATTGACGTTAGTTTCAGCGTATTAGTGAAGATTTCCTTCTTGACAAACTTATGGTTTCACACCATGAGTTGAAAGGGGGGGGGTGTTGGAAAATAATGAGAAAAGTATTTTAGGGATTTGATTTAATTAGTGAGTCTATATGATTTAATTAGGTTTGATATGATTTGATTTGGTCTAGGTTTCCTTGTTTTGTTGACAAATGATTGTTTTGATTTATTGCCTAGTATTGCTCCTTTGTAATATTATAAATACCTCCTTATGGAGAAGAATAGAGAATTGAAATAGTATTTGTCATAAACCCCAATTTCATCATGGTATCAGAGCGGGTTGTCCTTCGTGTGAAAGTCAAAAGGCCACACGTGCTCGCACGTCACCCACTTATTGTCCATGTGTAGGCTTGAAAATCGGCCACACTTGCAGGGGCGTGTTGAGAGTTGAAATGTGAGGAAGAGTTTGTCATACATCGGTGAGGGACAGGCCTTGCTATGGGCTTATATGGTCTTAGGCTACTCCCCATATTGCCAATTGGTTTTATGGTGGAACCCCAACTTTCTTCATGGTATCAGAGCCAGGGAGCAGGCCATATGCATTGCCATGTAATGGGGGGTCCTCTTGGCCCTACGCGATGATGGTGGGTATCCCGTGGGCCCACATGTAGGGTGAGTCTCCTTGGCTCCACGTGATTGCCGATGTGTGGATCTCCCACATGTGACCTACTAATTGGGTCACATGTGAAGAGGCGTGTTAAATCCCATCTTAGCCACACTCTAACTAACACTGAGACTTTTTGTGATAAAACCCCATACTTGACGGATTGTGCATGTAGTAATTACTAAGTTGGGGACAATATCAGTGTTTTTGGAAGTGGGTTGTTGGCCCGTCTCTATGATAATTCTACATATTATATTAGATCTAGGAAAAGAGCTTGATGTGCTACCTTGTATGAATCTCATTTAAACTAGTGGATTGGACTTAATGGAGTCCCCAGTTTTTAACCCAGAGGTGGGGTTTTCCGGTCAAAACTTCTTGGTTTTAGTGTTACTAAAGGCTTGCCACATATCTCACTTACTAGCACATGATACATGCATCCTTTGACTTGCTAATTGATATGTGCCTATAACCATGCTCACACAACGTAATAATAAGTAATGAACATGACTACTGTTGACTAGAAGAACTTTTGTAACCTAAGTTGAATTGATAAAATTGTGTTTGGTTGACTAATGAATATGTACTTAGCTGACTGGTGAATTTGATTAGTCAGTCTAGCAGACTTTGTTTTTATATACAAGATATTTCGCTTAGTACCAATTTCCAACACTATGAAGTAAATTGTTTGTTTTTTATTCAAGATATTCTACTTTAAATTAATAGAAATTGTAGGAGAAACTTTGAACTGGAGTCTATAGGACGAGCTCATCCGTTATAACAGACATACCTATATTTACATCTGCATGTAAATTTTTTTGTTAAATTATTCCTACTAATGTATGCCAAAATTTGGAGGAGGGGCCATGAAAAATTGAGGATCAAAGCGGAACGTGAAATTGATTCAACTCGATGGTGAAGCCCATTCTCATTCGTAATAAACCCATTTCCTGATAAATAATTTTGTTTTCTTATTTTATCTTCATTGACAAAAAGCAAAAGGTTTTAATTTCTTTTTTTTACTAACTCAAAACTAATTACACTTTTTTTCTTTTTAACAAATCAATATAATAAATTAATTTAATTTGCGAGTGAACAGAATATACATATAGCTGTAGTCAAAGTCAACTCATCACCGAACTTGCTTCTGAGTCAAAATTACACTTGATTGTAAACATACATAACAACATAGCATTTTTTATTTTCCATTCATTAGAGTACAAACATTGAAAACTCTTTTTTTTTTTTTTAAGAGACATTGAAAACATTTTACATGGAAATTGGAATATTATTCCATAAGCAACCATAAGAGACGTTCCATTAATCTAAGCTAGACTCTGGCTGTTGATGACTTTCTTGATTACTTGGGTCGACATGCTGTCTCGGTTGGCCCAGCTTGCCTTGCCATCTGAATTCACCAAAATTTATGTAAAAAATGAGATTAATACACTTTTATTTTATGGGATACAACTAATTGAAAACCCTGATATGATATAATATAATAGTCCAAAACTTGAGACCAATCGAGTCACCTGAAAATAAGCCTCAAGCTTCTTTTTCAGTGTTGCATGTTCTTGCTTCAGTCGCTGGAAAGTCCTCATGCATCTGATTAATTGCATTCATTGATCGTGCAAAATTACTTTTTTTTAATTGATTTGATTGGTTGGGGAATAAGATTCGCTTTATAATTTGTATTTTTATATATAAAATAATATTGTAATTCGAAAAGATGGATTGATTAATGTACCCTTCTGCGTTTCCTGCATTACAATATTCCCTAAACTGTTGGCAGTCAGCTTTCACCTTTTTGGCTCCGATGCTGCACCAGTAAACAAAATCGTTTAATTAATTTGGGATTAAATATTGTCATCTTAAAAGCCAACACAGAACATACTAGCAGATCCCTTTCCTTTCTAATAAATTTTAAAATTAATAAAATCGAAAATTTTATTACCTTGAGCTACTTCCCTTGAACTGCTGCATATAGTTGTCCAACTTATTAAAATCACGAGGGTTCCTCTGTCTGCAAACATATAAGACATCATTATATGTGGATACAGTTTATCTAATTAATTAGTCCTCGCGTGGTATATATGTCCATCAAAAATTTAAAAAGTTGAAAATTATAATTTGACTCACAGTGCCTGCTCTAGGATTTGGAGTGATCTAGATGAATCTCGGTAGTACAATGTAGCTACTTCCTCCACAAAATTAGGGTTAGCATCATCTTGCAGCTCCTCCAGCTGAACAAATGTTCGTCCAGAAATCCCTATAACACATATACACCACGAAGACTAAATTAATTAGGCACCAGAAATTCTCAAAGATTTAGAAAATTTAATTTTACATAGATGTAAACTTGCATGCATGCTCAGGGGTTGATCGGGAAACATAATGGTGTTGCATGGACGGTGAACAATGCTTCCCACTCCTTCACATATATTTCAATGACTATTTGGTATCCAGTTTTATTTTGTTTGACGAGTTTCTACATCATGCGATTGATCTACAATACTTACATGTATTCAATACAATTATCATTTGATTGGTTAGATATAGTTCATGTGAATATATGTATTTATTATAATCATCATCTAATTGTCGAGCTGATGAGTGTATTAAATACATGCAAGTATTGTAACCAAAATTCAAATGATAAAACGTTTGTAAATAAAAATATAGATAAAAATGATGGCTTGGACTTGTAAATGCAAACTACAAGTTTGAGAAAATTTTAGCTGCGGAATTTAGGGAAACATGAAATAAAAGGAAAAGGGTACGTACGTAAAGAGAAGAAAAGAAAAAAGAAAAAACCTGATCAAAGAGGGACTGCCTCATGAGACGAACCTGCCTACGCAATTGGTTTCTTTCCATTTCAGAAGAAATGTGGATATCAAAAGCTAGCAGAGAGAGAGAGAGAGAGAGAGAGAGAGGTAATGAAAGTACACACTTGGAAGCTGGAACAATGTGTATGTGATGGTACAAATTGTTATGGGCAAGGAGGGGTTTATATATTCTATGGAAGAGGGATACACACACACAAACGTGTATATATAAACGGTATTAGTATGAGGGTATGCGAGTGAACAAGTTTCCATGAAAAGGAAGAATGAAGTGATTGGAGAGTTAGTGGGGTCTAGAGGAGTAGTTATTGGAAAAGCTGATTCTGTAGTATAATTAACTAAATAGGATGACATTGTTTATGAGTTATGTTAAATCTGGAATATGGAATGACTGCGGCTGTATATATATGGATTCTAATTCTAGATATACGTCCTTGTTTAATATATATATATATATATTCAATTTTATTGAAATTAATATTGAGTTTAGTACATTAATTAGTAATAGAGCTTAATGCACTCAAATCTCTAATATTCTCCCACCGATACACCTACCGCTAAAAACCCATTATCATGTTTTGTATTTTCAACCATATTTACATGTAAAGGGGTTTGGAGCTCAAGTAATTAGAATTATTATCTTTATTACAATATTTTTGTGTTTGCTTCTTCTTCACTTTTCAATTTTATTTTTCAATGTAATTATTGCAACGTTATAACATATGTAGAGGTAGAACTCACCTACTTTACAAAATCATATATTTTAAGTACCCATATCGATTAAATTCTTCAACACATTTCGAATGAAAAAGATGTACGATAATATATATATTCTTCTCCCTTTTCTAATAATCAAGTTTTGCTGCTTTCATCAACGTGGTAAGTGCATTAACCTTAAAGTTGGGTTAAAAAAAGCAAATCTACCATTTGATGGGCATATGCTCCTTTCACATACTTTACTGGGAACCTCTCCTGCATGCATGAGACAACTAAGGAATATATCCTGGAGGATCCCAAAAGCTAACAATAAATTTTCACTAAGCCAAAAGATACAAGCATATTATGACGCAAACAATATAAATGGTTTGGCAAGTTCATAACGCGCGTGGTGTTATAATATAACTTATTTGATCTTTGAAACAAAATTTACACATGCCTGAGTGTGTTGTGATGATATCTTAAATCAATAACGTAATATTCTGTAGAAAGATTATGTATGTTAATCATTATATATTATTGATCCATAACACAATAGCGCCATGAGGTTATATCACATAAATTCTTGGTATCTTGCATTTTGCTTAAATTTCTTAATTAGTTGCACAAAGAATAGTATCACATTTGTCCATTTTGACGACCTAGGCTAACTAAGTTATATGCCCTTGAATTGCCATGAGGGAGTAACTAGGAAGGGGGTCACCGCAGATTGTGATGGGCTAAAATGACTTTCTAAATTAATTAGTTGCACTTGCTATACAATATTCTTCATTATTCAGGGCGTAGAAGGCAAAGATCTTTTGTATATGTTTCATCTCCATTGTAAATATATAGGCTAAAAAACATGCTAACATCGTAATGGAGGCACTGGCTTGGTAGCTAACAACTTAACTTAGCATATTAATGCGAGCCCAATTGGCTAAAAGTTTGTTCTCTAAGGTAGCGTTTGGTACGCAGACGGGACGGGACGGGACGGGACAGGATGGAACGGAACGGGACAGGACGGGACGAAGGTTCCGTGTATGTTTGGTACACGCTGGACGGAACATGTTGGTTGTTCCGTTTTGCGTTTGGTACGCGTTGGATGGAACGCAAATGACTGCGAAACCCGTCAGCGAGATTCTGTTCGAAACCCGTCGGTTTGAAACCCAACGACGTGTGAATTTGGACAGCGTGGCGTTGTGAATCTGGGTGAAATCCCGGGCTGCCAGATCGAACAGCGTGGTGTTGTGAATTTGGGTGAAATCTCGGGCTGCCGGATCGGACATCGTGGCGTAGGCGTTGTGAATCTGGATGAAATCCGGTCGTCGGACTTCGACTGCGACGAGTCTAGGTGGTATTGCTTGGCCAAAATCTGGATGAAATCCGATCGTCGGACTTCGACCGTGACGCATTTGGGTGGTATTGCTTGGCCAAGCTCCGGTATGCCGACTTGATCTTCGTTGGCGACGCGTTGGCCGTGACTCGGAGGACCTCGTACAGACTCGCCGTGGAGGCCGCTGCTTGGCCTCGGTGAACGCCTGGGTGGAGGAGGCCTTGATCTGGAAATTAAGTGTCGGATGGAAGTGAGAAGGAAAAAGGAGGAGACGAAGAGGCTGAGATCCGAGGAAAGAGACAATGGGAGAGGGAACGAATTTTGTGTTCCACGGGATGGAAAAACCTGTTCCAAGGGGGAGCGCGGAACCAAAATTTAGCCCATTTCTATCCCGCGGGATAGCCGTTCCACATAATTTTAGCGCGCCAAACATGGGACGGAACGCGTCCGTCCCACCCTGTTCCGTCCCATCCCACGTACCAAACGCACCCTAACGTACTGGTCACCAGCCTTAACTATTATTTGATGAAAATGTACGGGTGTAACGCGATAACCTCTCACCCAATTACATTGAAATCAAGAGTTTAGTTAGAAATGGTGCATTAGTCAATCCTAGATTTGTTGATATGTTAATTAATTAGTCTTTGGATTTCTTATTATTTAAAAGTTACTTTTGGTATTTTGTGTCTTAGGGCTTTTTTTTAAGGTTAAAATTTTAGGTTTCTTTGCCTATTAAGTTAGAGTTTTCTTTAGACATGTAAAGAGGTTTGGAGCTCAAGTACTTAGAAGCATTATCTTTAATATAATATTCCATGTTTGATTCTCCTTCCTTTTTAATTTTAATATTTAATGTAACTATTACAACGCTATAACGTATGTAGAAATAAAACTCACCTACTTTACAAAATTTTATATTTTAAGCACCCATATGGATTAACTTCTTCAACTAATTTCGAATGAAAAAGAAGCACGATAGTGTGTATGTACACACACACACATACATGCATATATATTCCCCTCTCTTTTCTCCATTTTCTAATAATCAAGTTTTGCGGCTTTCATCAACGTGGTAAGTGTGTTGATTAACCTAGGTTAGGTTAAAAAAAAAAAGAAAATCTACCATTTGATGGGCATAGGCCTCCCTTTCACATACTTTATTGGGAACCTCTCCTGCATGCATGCATGAGACAACTAAGGAATTTATCCTGGAGGATCCCAAAAGTTAACAACAAATTTTCACTAGCCAAAAAGGGACCAGGATTCTCTCCTGAACAGATGGAGAGGATCCTCCTGATTAGGCCCATCGGGCCGTTCATTTTTTATCCAACGGCTACAAACAGAGGGCCCTTCTAAAAGTTATAATAATTATAACCGTTGGATAAAAAATGAACGGCCCGATAGGCCTGGTCAGGAGGATCCTCTCCATCTGCTCAGGAGAGGATCCTTATCCGCCAAAAAGGATACAAGCATATTATGACGCAAGCAATATAAATGGTTTCGCAAGTAAGTTCATAACGCGCGTGCTGTTATTATATAATTGATTTGATCTTCGAAACAAGATGTTGGGATGATATCTTAAACCAATAACATAATATTATGTATGTTAATCATTATATATTATTAGTCTAGAACACATTTGTAATATCATGAGGTTATATCACATAAGTCCTTCGTGTCTCGCATTTTGGTTGACTTTCTTAATTAGTTGCACAAAGAATAGTATCACATATTATACTTAGGTCCATTTGATGACCTAAGCTAAGTAGTTAAGTTATATGCCCTTCAATTACCATGAGGGAGGAGCTAAGAAGGTGGTCACCGCAGATTGTGATGGGCTAAAATGACATTTTCAATTAATTAGTTGCACTTGCTATACAATATTCTTCATTATTCAGGGCTTAGAAGGCAAAGATCTTGTATATATATTTTATCTCCATTGTAAATAGATATTTTGAAGTCTAGACTTAAGTGTTTTGGCTTTCCTTGTAAATATTATAATTGTACCACACATGTTCAATCCAGTTTCAGGCTATTCTCTGATTATGGGCTTTCTCTGATCGAAATAAGTGTTTAAGGCTATCACACATCACCTCAAGGTTTGTTCATGCATATGCATTTCACGTCTAAATTCCTGTTACATTTTGGCTGGCTTAGTTGTCTCTACAGTTTTGTGCAGTGCTTCTAGGGAGAGAAGGGATGGAAGAAGCAAGTTAGGGCTTCATTCCTATGTGCAGGATTCGGTGGGACTCTGTGGGGATGATCAGGATGTAGTAGACAGTCATGGGTGTTTGGGGAAAGGTACTTCCTCATCTCAGATTTCAGAATTGGCGGTGGCTGAAGCCTCCCAGCCTTGCCAGAATCAATGGAAGCACTATTCTGGAACTACTGGGGGCTTGGGAACCTCCGGATAGTTCAAGCGCTGAGGATGATTGTTCGTCAGCAAGATCCCCTCATTTTGTTTCTTTGTGAGACAAAATGCGATACGACAAAGTTGAATTTGATAAGAGTAAGTTTGGGCGGGGGTGAATTCATGTGGTTAGTCGGGTGGATTGGGTTACGATATGATTTGTGTATCCTCTCCTCTTTCCCTCACCATATTGATGCTGAAGTGGGAGGTATTGGGGAAGCATTTCACTGACGGCTAACTGGTTTTTATGGGCATCAGAGTACGAGGGATAGACATCTATCTTGGGGGCTCTTCCGTAGTCTCGCTAGGGAGAATAAGTTATCGTGGTTTGTGGGAGGGGATTTTAATGAGCTTTTCTCGGTATTTGAGAAGGAAGGTGGTGGGCTCAGCCGATGGGTCAGATACTTAACTTTAGGGAAGTAGTGAATGATTGTGATCTTAAGGATCTGGGGTTCTGTGGTGAACCTTTTACTTGGATTACATTGAGAAATTGGGGGATTAAGGAGCAGCTTGATCGGGTTTTGGCTAATATAGCGTGGTGTAATTTATTTACTAACCATTCTGTTACACATCTTAAGCCCTGCAAGTCCGATCATGTCCTTTTAGCCCTTGTTTTCCTTGGTGGTGGGCATCGTAATTCCCACACTCAAACCTTATTCCATTTTGAGGAGATGCAGATTGGTCATAATGATTGTGCAGACATTAT